TGAGGCCTGGACCATCCTTGAGCGAACCTTTGCAGCGCAGTCCCAAGCTCGTGCCTCTGCACTTCGTCGTCAGCTTGGAGAGTGTCAGAAGCTTGACTCCACTGCCACTGAGTTCTACAACAAGGTCAAGGGCCTCGCCGACACATTGGCCTCCATTGGACAGCCCCTCACCGACTCCGAGTTCAACTCGTTTATTGTCAATGGTCTTGATGAGGAGTATGATGCCTTAGTCGAGATCATCAACGAGCGGGGCAACTCGACACCCATGCTGGCACACGAGGTTTTCTCTCGGCTCCTTCTCACTGAGCAACGGGTCGAGAGACGCCGCTCCAGGGGCACTGGCTCCCTCTCGGCCAACGCCGCCACCAAGGGTGGCCGCTCTTCTTCATCACCCCGGTCTCCCTTGGGGCTGCCACCGTCGCCCGCCTCGGCCCCCCACCTACTGCGACCTTACCGGGGGCTGGCGGTCCACGTGTGTGCCAGCTTTGTGGCCGCGATGGGCACTGGGCCTCCAAGTGTCATAAGCGCTTCCAGCGAAGCTTCCTTGGTCTTGGCAATGACGGCAAAGATACACGCAACAATGCCCGTCAGGTCGCCATGGCTGATCATCCCGCGCTGCAGAAGCAACAGGGACACACTCAGTCCTACTCCATCGATCCACACTGGTACATGGACTCTGGGGCGACAGAGCATCTGACCAGCGAGATGGGGAAGCTTCACACTCGTGAACCCTATCATGGCTCCGACAAGATCCACACCGCCAATGGAGCAGGTATGCACATCTCTCATATTGGTCAAGCATCTCTTCTCACTAGACATGCCAATAGGAGTCTTCAGCTTCGCAATGTTCTTCGAGTTCCATCTGTGACCCGTAATCTTCTTTCAGTTTCTAAACTCACACGTGATAATAATGTGCTTTGTGAATTTCACCCTTTTGATCTTTTTATTAAGGATCGGGGCACGAGGGACATTCTTCTTAGTGGGCGGTTGTGCCAGGGCCTCTACCGTCTGGAGCATCCTGGCGTCGCCCGTGTTTTCAGTGGAGTTCGGGTCTCTCCGTCACAGTGGCATGCTCGTCTTGGTCACCCGGCCACACCTATTGTCCGTCATATTTTGCGTCGTCATGAGCTTCCTAGTTTGTCTAGTAATAAAGATGTAGCAGTGTGTGATGCTTGTCAGCAGGGCAAGAGTCATCAACTTCCTTTTTCAGAGTCCAGTCGTGAGGTGAAATATCCTTTAGAACTTGTGTTTTCAGATGTATGGGGTCCTGCTCAGACTTCTGTCAGTGGTCATAATTACTATATCAGTTTCGTTGATGCTTATAGTCGCTTTACCTGGCTTTACCTTATTAAACGCAAATCTGATGTGTTTGATATTTTTGTTCAGTTTCAAAAACATGTTGAACGTCTTCTCAAGCACAAAATTGTTCATGTCCAGTCGGACTGGGGGGCGAGTATCGCAACCTCAACTCCTTCTTTCAGTCGCTTGGGATAGCTCATCGTTTAGCATGTCCACATACACATCAGCAGAATGGTTCAGTCGAACGTAAGCATCGTCATATTGTTGAAGCTGGTCTTACTCTTTTGGCCCATGCATCTGTTCCGTTTCGGTTTTGGAGTGATGCTTTCACCACTGCATGCTTTCTCATCAACCGTACTCCCACTCGTGTTTTAAACATGAAGACTCCCATTGAGGTTCTCCTTAATGAACAACCTGATTATACCTTTTTCAAGGTATTTGGGTGTGCTTGCTGGCCGCATCTTCGTCCATATAATAAGCGCAAGCTTGAGTTTCGTTCTAAGAAGTGTGTTTTTCTTGGCTATAGCTCTCTTCATAAAGGTTACAAATGTCTTCATGTTCCCACTAATCGTGTCTATATATCTCGGGACGTCATGTTTGATGAGCATGTTTTTCCCTTTGCCAAACTTCCTGTGTCCACTGTCGAACCACCATCTCTGCATTCATCCTCTGTTGTTTCTGACCAATTTGATGATGTTGCATACTCTCCTTTGCTGTTACCTAACCATGGTGCAGGAACCGGACGTGGGGCTCATTTGGAGCTGTTGGAGGATTAACCATCATCATCGCCGCCTTCTGATGGGCACATCGATCGCCCTATGTTGCATGGCATCGATTCGCGTGCCCATGCATGGTCACCCGAAGAGCCCGTCGCGCCGAGCATCTCCACTGCTCGGTCCGCTACGCCAGCGACCGCCGAGTCTCCAGCGGCTCGGCCCTCTTCGCCAGCGGCCGCCGAGTCTTCAGCGGCTCGGCCTGCCACACCGTCTTGGCCCGCGGCTCGGCCCGTCACGCTGTCTTCGCCTGCAGCTCGGGTCCGCGACGCCGTCCTCACGTCGCCTTCATCCGCGGATCGGCCCGCGACACCGGCCGCGCCACGGCCCACTATGTCGGGCTCGCCATCGGCCCGGTCTGTGACGCCGGCGTCGCCAGCTGCTTCGTCTGCTCTGCCGGTTTCGCCGGTGGGCCGGCCTTCTACGCCGACCGAGCCCGAGGCTACTGTGTCTGGCTCCTCGTCACCGGCTGACTCGTCAACGTCGCCGTCCTCCAGCCCGTTGCAGGCTGCTCCGTCGACCTCGGTGGTTCCTGTGTCCCGACCACATACACGCAGTCGCAGTGGCATTTTCAAACCTAAGGAACGTAAGGATGGTACGGTTGCTTGGTTGGCTGCTTGTTTGGCTGCTGCTGTTGCGGATCCATCTTCTGAGCCTCGCTCATATCAGGCTGCCCTGCGCATTCCACATTGGCGAGAGGCTATGGAGCAGGAGTTTCATGCTCTCCTTCGTAACAAGACATGGACTCTCGTTCCTCCACCACCACGGGTAAATGTTATTGACTCAAAATGGGTATTCAAAGTGAAAAAGCATTCGGATGGATCTATTGAGCGTTACAAAGCGCGACTTGTTGCTCGCGGTTTTCGGCAGCGCCATGGTCTTGACTATGAGGACACCTTCAGTCCTGTCGTCAAGCCTACCACTATTCGGCTTCTTCTCTCCATTGCTGTTTCTCGTGGTTGTTCACTTCGTCAACTTGATGTGCAGAATACTTTTCTACATGGATTTTTGGAGGAAGAGGTTTATATGAAACAGCCACCTGGTTTCTCTGATCCTGATCGTCCTGACTATATCTGTCGTCTCTCCAAAGCACTATATGGTTTGAAGCAAGCTCCTCGTGCCTGGCATGCCCGCCTTGCCTCTGCCCTTCGTGCTCATGGGTTTGTGCCGTCCACTGCTGACACTTCATTATTTCTTCTACAGAAGCCAGAAGTCACTATGTATCTTTTGGTATATGTCGATGATATTATCCTTGTCAGCTCTTCTCAGTATGCTGTTGATGCTCTTGTCTGCTCTCTTGGTGCTGATTTTGCGGTCAAAGATCTTGGGAAGCTTCACTACTTTCTTGGAGTTGAGGTCACTTCTCGTGCTACTGGTCTTGTCCTTACGCAGAAGAAGTACTCCTTGGAGTTGTTACAAAGAGCGGGCATGCTGAAGTGCAAACCGACCACCACACCCATGTCGTCTACCGACAAGATAACAGTTGTTGATGGTGAGCTTTTGTCTCCTGCGGATGCCACAGAGTACAGGAGCAGTGTTGGTGGACTTCAGTACTTGACGATCACGAGACCAGATATCTCTTATGCTGTTAACAGGGTTTGTCAGTATCTTCAGGCTCCCAGAGATACTCATTGGGCTGCTGTTAAACGCATTCTTCGTTATGTTCAGTTCACCCTGACATTTGGTATGCATATTCGGCCGACTTCCTCTCGGGTCCTTTCGGCCTTCTCTGATGCAGATTGGGCTGGTAGCCCAGATGACAGGCGATCCACGGGGGGTTATGCAGTATTCTTTGGCCCTAATTTGATCGCCTGGAGTGCTCGGAAACAGGCTACTGTGTCACGTAGCAGTACTGAAGCTGAGTACAAGGTTGTGGCTAATGCTACTGCAGAGATTATTTGGGTGCAGTCTTTGCTTCAGGAGTTGGATTTGTCTCAACCACAGCCTCCTATTCTTTGGTGTGATAACATCGGTGCTACATACCTTTCTGCAAATCCAGTATTTCATGCCCGAACGAAACACATTGAAGTTGACTATCACTTTGTACGGGAACGTGTATCACAGAAGCAACTCCAGATCAAGTTTATCTCATCTAAGGATCAACTTGCAGACATCTTCACTAAGCCTTTACCTCTGCCACAGTTTGAGGCTTGTAGGCGCAATCTTACCCTTCTCAGTTCTTTAGAAAGTGGCTAAGATTGAGGGAGGGTGTTAGACTATGTATAACTTCTGTACTTATGTACGTATATTGTACGTATTGTAACACATCCATTATATATAATGAGATAAGCCACCCCTAGAGGGTTGTGCTGGTTTCCCCAAAACTTATTGTCTTACAAAAAGAAACATGAAATAACTAAATGCCCTCTTTGAAAAGAGGATAGAGAAATACATAATTTGTTCTTTCAAAAGAACATGAAAGAAATATGCATAGAACTATATAAGCATTTGCCATGGAAATCACCAACGAAATCATCAAATTCTATTAACATTCCAATGAAAGTTGTTGGCTGAGCTGCCCAGGTTCACCGGGAGGCAGCTCCGCCGTTGTATATACGTATGAATCCTTTCGACAAAGAAAGAAAGAAAAAGATCGTTTGTCGTTGTTGAGTTATAACAAAAGGAATTTTGAAGTTGATATTAAGAAAGCAAAAGCAGAAATAGAATTATAAAAGGAGTACTAGTGTTGCCCATGGGTAAGTGAGAATTGCTCGATCTCCATGACTCGTTGACAAAAAAATGATGAATCTCCTTGATTCATTAATCACTTGTCCACCATATTTTTGGGTTCAATTGCCCTTTCATCGCTCAAAAATACATGAAAAAGAGGCAGCAAATTTACACATGGTCAAAAAAAGGGGAAAAAAGAATACGAGAGAAGGCCTTTGCCATCTCTCGGTCTGTTAGATGGCCACTTGACTTGTAGCATTAGCATGCTAGCGCGGCGTAGCTCTCCTCGTGTATGGTCTCCAACGTCGGCCGCCGCCTCGACAAGCGGCCGCCGCTAATCCGTTGCTTGAGCTCCCCGATCTCCGCCGCAGCCGCCTCGTCGTCCACGGCCATCTCATCCAACCGCGGCGCCCTGACCGGCGCGAGGTCCGCCTCGGCGGCAACGGAAGCCGCCTCGGGCGGCGCCACGACGATGGCCGCCACCTTGGCCGAGGCAGGCCTTCGGCCATGAGCCTCCCTGGCGAAAACGGCGGCCAGGCGTGCCACGTCGGCGGGCGCGGCCTTGGAGCCGAGCCGCTTCATGGGGAAGGCGGCGTAGACGCCGCCGAGCTCGAGGTCTTCGTCAGCCGCGAGCGCCTCGATCCGGCGGCCCGCCTGCAGCGCGCGCGCGTCGGCCAGGAAATGGCCCGGCGCCTCGAGCATGAGCTCCGCCGCCGTGGCCGGGGGCCTGACGAGCCTGAGCCCGCCGTCGGGGAGCACGACTCTGGCGCCCTTGGCCGCCCCGGGGATCCTGGCCAGCGTGCAGGACGCGAAGTTCCCCATGCCGAAGAGAGAGAGGCCGGAGATAGGATGGATAAAGGCGATGAGGTTGAAGACAGAGTGCGAGGAATGAGAGTTGGTGTGGGTATGTGTGGCTGCGCTGCCTGGGACGGGTTGCGCGGGGAGATATATAGCAGTGGCGCGAGCAAACGCGTGCGATGGACGATGGATGTGGGTGACGACGGTGGCGTGATGGGTGGGTGGGTGCGAGGAGCCGGAGGAAGAGACGAAAGGTGAGCTGAGTGAGGAGTGGGGTGGTGGTGGCCAGGTGGGTTGGCGTCGTCGTCCAAGAGGATTTGCGCGTGGGGCCGACCGACCACGGGCCACGGGAGTTCGTTGGCTCGGCTTCGGTTGGGCTCCCACCCTCCCTCGCCTCGCCGGCGACGGACGAGAAAGAAACCTACTCCTGTAAAATCCACTTGTTGATCAGTGATAATCCTGGATAATCGCCCACGTTATCCCGCGTGAAATCCACTTGTTGATCAGTTACATATTACGATCACGACCAGCTAGCAAAAATCCACTTGCTGACGAGTGACATGTTACGACCAACTCTCGAAAATCCACTCGCTGATCAGTTAGAAAGAAACCTAGTACATCCCGCGTGGCTGCGCCTGCTGTACAAGATGATCAGGCGCCTGGCGGTGTGATCGACTGATCGGTGATCGGACTTCTTCTATTCGTGTCCACTTTGAGATCGACAGGGTGGTCACGACTTTTGGTTGGAAAGACAAGCCACAAGGCACGGTCTGGTCCATCGACCGGCAGCGTCTCCACAGTTTGATTGTAAGTGTCTCGACTTTTGGCTGGATTTCTGGAACACTGGCTTGAATCTTGCAAGCTGCCTACCTACGTGCCTATTGGAGAAGGCATGTATATTGCAGTTGGCATAAAAAAAGGTATCAAATGCCTTTTCGACAGATGAAAAAAAAGGAAGACAAATCATCGACATGATAATTGCCCCGCGCAAATATACAAGAAACCCTAAATGTGGCGATCTCGGTGATTTGCGAGAGCACATACGGTCCAACAGAGAGATATGCAAGCGGATAGTCCATGATCGAGTATTATACTTAAAGTCAACGGACGTTGCATATTTGATTTAACTTCATATAGTGTTGACTTTTGATGTATCATTGGACTTCTCAGAAAACATTCTTTCATAATATTTTTTATATTTTATATCAAACTACAGTTAAAAAAGTGTACTCGATCAAGTTTCAACAGACTATTAGTTGTTGGCAGATACGATCAAGTTTCATCTGGAACTTACGTTCTGGCCTGATGTATTGAGTTTCAGAATTTACACCTGGTGGTATGATTGTGCCTACACTATGTTTGATTGGCGCGTCTCTCGATGGATTTGACATGCTAGCTAGCTACTCCCTCTCTGACTTTTTACAAGACGTTCTTAGGGGTTTTAGGATCCATGACAGTGTCAAGAAAGTCTTATATTAAGTTAGGGAGGGAGTACAAGTTAATCACTCAGGATGAGTGGCTCTCTTTCTACAAGAGGATGTTGGGTCGATCTTGCATCTATCTATAGTGCATGCCGGCAACGACACTGACCGCCCAAATGGTTCTCCGACCATAATGACAGGCGATGCAAGCGGTGCGTGAAGTCGGGGAGGTCCTTGGGGTCCAAGAATGGCCGCCGAGAGGTACGGCATCTCCTGGCACCCCTGTCCCCCTATGTTACCACCGACGAAGTGGCATGCTTCTTCATGTTTGGCGGTGTTGATGTGAAACCTGAACCTCACCACCGACGAGTACTATCTCACTCCTTTGAAAGAATTCCGTTTCGCACACAAAATACTCTCTTGAAATTCTTTTGTTTCTCAAGGACCAAGCTGTAATGAACTTTCTGGCGATCTCCAGAAGCACTCTCCAGACCCCTCCTCCCTGGATGAAGGCCCGAGGCCAAGAGTGGCTTCTACGGCCAAGTCAGTCAGTTAGCTTTAAGTAAGCAGTACGCTGCACGCGGCAGGTCAGTATCCTCATTGCTCTATTGCACATTTGCACTGGCAGACGAACCCGGGCCGGGCCTGCAGATCGTCAGTACAGGGAACACGCAAACGGAAAGAAGAGAGAAACAAAATGTTTGAGCTGACAGAAGGCACGGACAGTGACAGTGGGTGTGAAACCAGCTAGCTAGGCTACTACGAGGTCGTTCAAGGGCTACAGAAACCGACCGGGGGGGACCTCGACCGCGCAGCAGCTTGACTGCGACTCCGTGGCCAGGTGTGGCTCGCTTGACCGACTCCCCCCGAATCAAAAATCACATGACCCAAATCATATGCTGGCAGCAGTAACATGTGTGCTCCTACGTACCTACAGAATACCAGTGTCTTCTGCAACTTGCAGAGGCGAATCGATGCGCGAGAATTGATGTCACGGACGAAGCTGCCGGGAAGGGATCGCGATCCCGGCGGCTGCTGCTGCAACTTGCGGAGAGCTAGCGCATGACCCCGTGGCCGGGCACATGCAGATGCAGCGCCTGTGCCTGGCAAATTTGACAAATTTAATCTATGAACGAAATCAAATCACAGAATAAACTATCCGTGAAACTATTTCACGCGGCTGACCTTTTTGTGTGACGCCCGACACGAAGGCGCCACACTACACTGTGCAACGCCTCACAGATAGGCGCTACACACTTGGCCAGCGTTGCACCTCAGACTGCCTAAAAATTGCTAAGTCATTGTGCAGAGCCTAAGAGCTAGGCGCTGCACTATATAGTGTGGCGCCTAGCTCTCAGGCGCTGCACTAGTGGTTGCACTACAAAATGAAGCAACCACTAGCGCAACGCCTAGAGGTTAGGCGCCACACTGTATAGTGTGGCGCCTAGCTCTCAGGCGCTGCACACTGACTTAGTAATTTTCAGATCACACGGGTACGACACTGGCCAGACGTGTAGCGCCTATCTGTGAGGCGTTGCACAGTGTAGTGTGGCGCCTTCGTGCCGGGCGTCACAAAAAAAGTCAGCCGCGTGAAATAATTTTACGGACAATTCATTCTGTGATTTGATTTCATCCCTAGGTTAAATTTGTCAATTTTACTCCTGTGCCTGTGTGCGTGCGTTGTTGCGCGGGTGGCGCGCCGTGTGGACTTGACGGCCGGGACGCCCCTGTGCCTGTGTGCGTGCGTTGTTGCGCGGGTGGCGCGCCGTGTGGACTTGACGGCCGGGACGCCCCTGTGCCTGTGTGCGTGCGTTGTTGCGCGGGTGGCGCGCCGTGTGGACTTGACGGCCGGGACGGGCGCCCTCGGCGTGGGCGGGAGCGTGCACGGCGCCGGTGCGTGTGTCCGGAATGGCCAAGCCCCGCGGGACGCTGGCTCCCGGTGGTTGGTTGCGGGGGCTAATTATGGGCCGGAGGCGTGTCCGCGTCACGCGACGCTGGCCGCACCGTACTCGGCGTCCCTGCTGTACTCCTTCCGTTTCAAAATAAAAGACTCAATTTTATACTAATTTTAGTATAAAGTAGAGTCATTTATTTTGAAACGGAAGAAGTACTCGCCATCCGCCGGTGCCGCGCTGCTGTTGCTACGTACGCCTTGAGTTGGAGGGCCGCTGTCTATCAGTGGGCATCGCCGTCGCCATCGCGTAGCCACCGTGCTGCGCGATGGTTGGCGAGAGAGTTGGGAGTGCGAATGGTTGGCCAGAGAGTCTGGAGTGCGAATGCTTGGCCTCGGTCGCAGGCCTGGTCCGTGGCCTGCGCACTCAGTTTTAAGTAAGTGGGTACGACTTTGGTGCGTGGCTGCCGTCGAGGAAAAACAGCTACTACTAATATGTGGTTGTTAACTGTGCTAGCAGCACCAGGTTTGTGGAGCATTTTCTACGCAGCCATCTGCCGATGTTCTCGTGGTGGGAAATCTGTTCTGCGTCTATGATGCCATTGAACATCGACATATGAGCATCCTGACTGAACTATGCGCTGGGCCATTACATATGAGCACATCTCCACCACCATAACCTCCAAGATTCTGATCCTTGATACGAAGTTCGGTGCACCCATGACAACGAGGACTAAAAACAGTGCCGATCAGATTCAAGATGATTCAGTGGACAGTAAGAAACACATCATCGCATGAGGATTAAAACACAATACCGATCTATATTAATCAAACAGATTCAAGATGATTCAGTGCCGAGAAAGAAACCTATACACATTAATTATATCTAACCAATGGCAGTACTGAACGGAAGCTGCTGAAGCGCAAGCTTCCTTTGCTGAGTATGGAAACAATCAAATGTGGCAGAGGGGAACAATCAGAACAGCACTGGACGACTGTCGTCGACCAACATACTAGGCAGCAGCCAGTCTCTCACAAGTAACAGCCGTCAGGTTTCCAACTTTCGCCTACGCAAAGAGAGCTTAAACTTCTCTTGACAAATAGACGGCCAGCCGCCTTTCTTCGAAGGAATACTCGATCGCCTCCGGCAATGTTGGCTCTGGCTTCTCGTAGACAAGGGAGACAGGAGCAGCCGTGACCTTGCTAGCCACAGCGGGCGTCATTGCCAGCTGCATCGGAGCCGCCACGGTCATCGGGGTCTTGAGATTCAGTGCTGCTCCAAATGTCTTGGGGTTGGGGGTCCGGTTCTCATCCTCGGTGTCATTGGTGACAGAGCGCGCAGGAGTGGAGGGGACACTGCTTGGCGGCGGCATGATCTGCGCAAATGGCTTGCGAGGTGTCTCGGTTTCACGCAAGGCAGTGGCATTGAAAGATAGCTTCTTGATGGGAAGATCGCCAATGTCCAAGCCTCTGCTGGCTGAAATTGTTCACATGCATCAGAGGTTTATGATGAGAAGAAACTGAGACCTGCAGTACATGAAACCTCCTGATAGGGGATGGATGCTTACCAGGGGACAAATGGGCAATGTCTTCAGTTCTCTTGGCAGCACGAACATTCTTGGAATGCAGTATGTCTGTTTTGGGTGCTTGCATCGTGGCTCCACCCATGGACACCCTGCGGTTTACACCACCCATCGAGTGTCTAGGCGCCT